TCAGCATGGAATAATGAATTTTTGGGGACTATGTTTTCAGTCACCCTGCAACAGGTATAGAATAATTACTTTGGGGACTACAATTCCCATCATATTGCAGCCAGTATGAAATGACTTTGGGGGACTATGACTCCCATCATCCTGCAGCCGGTGCTGAATAATGCCTTTTGGGGATATACATACCATCATCCTGAAGCCAGTGTTGGAAATTATTTTGGGGATCACAATTCCCATCATCCCCAGCCAGTGTGTGGAAAATGCCCTTTTGTAGGACTACAACTCCCACCACACACACCCAAGCAGTGTGGAAACGACTTGGGAGGGCAACAATTCCTATCATGCCTCCAGCCAGTGTGGTATAATGACTTTGGGGGACTACAGTTCCCATCATATTGCAGACAATGTGGAATAATTATGACTTTTGGGGACTGCAACTCCCACCATCCTGAAGCTGGCATGGAATAATGCCTTTTGGGGACTACAATTCCAATCATTCTGTGGCCAGTGTGGAATAATAACTGGGGAGGCTACGATTCCCATAATCCCCAGGCAGCACGCAATATGCCTTTTTATGGGATTACTGCTCCCATCATCCCTCAGTCACTCGAGATCAATTATTTTGGGGGATATACATACTATCATCCTGAAGCCTGTGTAGGAAATTATTTTGGGGGACCTCAATTCCCATCATCCCCAGCCAGTGTGTGGAAAATGTCCTTTTCTGGGACTACAACTCCCACCACACACACCCAAGTAGTGTGGAAACATGACGTGGGAGGGCAACAATTCTGTTTACAAATATAATTATACTACAATTCCAATCATCCTGTGGCCGGTGTGGAATAATGACTGGGGGGATATGATTCCCATAATTCCCAGGCAGCACACAAGATGTCTTTTGACTGGATTACAGCTCCCATTATCCCTCAGTAACTATGGATCAATTATTTTGAGGGATACAAATCCCATCATCCTGAAACTGGTGTGTGAAATTATTTTTGGGAAATTAAATTGGAGGACTACAACTCCCATCATCCCCAGCCAGTGAATGGAGAATGCCTTTTTGGGGACTAGATTTCCCATCACACACATCCAAGTAGTGTGGAATCATGACTTGGGAAGGGCAACAATTCCCATCATCTCTTATCCATGATGATGGGAGTTGTAGTCCCCCAATTTGTTTCTAATTATTAGCTTGGCTAAGAGGAACACAGTCAAGCATTGGACTCTTGACTCTGTAACTATGGATCAATTATTTTGGGGGATACAAATCCCATCATCCTGAAGCTGGTGTTGGAAATTATTTTTGGGGATTACAATTCCTATCATCCCCAGCCAGTGAATGGAGAATGCGTTTTTGGAGACTGAATCTCCCATCACACACATCCAAGTCGTGTGGAAACATGACTTGGGAGGGGCAACAATTCCCATCATCCCTTATCCATGATGATGGGAGTTGTAGTCCCCCAATTTGTTTCGAATTATTAACTTGGCTAAGAGGAACAGAGTCAAGCATTGGACTCTTTTGACTCTCAAGACCAGAATTCGAATCCCCAATCATCCACGGAAACCCATTGGGAGACCTTAAGCAAGTCACACTCTCTCAGCCTCAGAAGCGAACCTGGTGAACCAATTCTCCCAAAGAAACCCCCTCACCTTCATTTTAGGGATGTGGAGCTCCACAGGGTCGCCTGGCACGGAGGTGCCCAGGACCAGCCGGAAGAGCAGCAGCAACAGGTACAGGTGGGGAGGCGCCATCCTTGCAGTGCGGACCAAGAAGCACACCTGGACGGATCGGTGTCTGAACCTGTCTGTTTTCTTCCAGGTGGGAAAGGTGGCAGCCAATGGGAGAAAGCAGCACCCCCCCAACCCCCAGGATGCTGGGTGGGGGGGGGGGGCGGACAGATCATGGGGGTGGATGAGACCCCAGGGAGCAGCCAGTGAAGCGGAAGACCTGATTAGCCTTGGCAGTTAATGAGGAAAAGATAATTAATATATGGGGATTCAAAGGGATCCAGTTGAGTATCCCTTCTCCAAAATGCTTGGGACTGGTTGTATCTTGGATATGGGATTTTCCCCCAGATTTTGTGGAATATTTGTATACATATGTAATACATTTGTTCATTCGTTCAGTCGTCTCCGACTCTTCGTGACCTCATGGACCAGCCCACGCCAGAGCTCCCTGTCGGCCGTCACCACCCCCAGCTCCTTCAAGGTCAGTCCAGTCACTTCAAGGATGCCATCCATCCATCTTGCCCTAAATACATATACATGCGCAAATATACATACACACACACGTATGGCGATCTATACGGTACATACATGCTGTCTCGAATGAGGGATTTTTACAGATTTTTGGAATATTTGCATACATATGCATATGTCTATATACACATACAAACACACCCACACACACATATACACACACATGGATATATATACAGAGAGAGAAAGGTATGTTCGTTCAGTCGTCTCCGACTCTTCATGACCTCATGGAGCAGCCCACGCCAGAGCTCCCTGTCGGCCGTCACCACCCCCAGCTCCTTCAAGGTCAGTCCAGTCACTTCAAGGATGCCATCCATCCATCTTGCCCTAAATACATATACATGCGCAAATATACATACACACACACGTATGGCGATCTATACGGTACATACATGCTGTCTCGAATGAGGGATTTTTACAGATTTTTGGAATATTTGCATACATATGCATATGTCTATATACACATACAAACACACCCACACACACATATACACACACATGGATATATATACAGAGAGAGAAAGGTATGTTCGTTCAGTCGTCTCCGACTCTTCATGACCTCATGGACCAGCCCACGCCAGAGCTCCCTGTCGGCCGTCACCACCCCCAGCTCCTTCAAGGTCAGTCCAGTCACTTCAAGGATGCCATCCATCCATCTTGCCCTAAATACATATACATGCGCAAATATACATACATACACACATATGGCGATCTATACGGTACATACATGCTGTCTCGAATGAGGGATTTTTACAGATTTTTGGAATATTTGCATACATATGCATATGTCTATATACACATACAAACACACCCACACACATATACACACACATGGATATATATACAGAGAGAGAAAGGTATGTGTCAGATGTGGGTTTTTCTTCAAATTCTGGACTATTTGCATGCATATATTTGCAAATATTTGCATGCATATATTTGCAAATATTTGCATGCATATATTTGCAAATATTTGCATGCATATATATGCAAATACACATGCATGTACATATACGTACATATGCACACATATGGGTATTTATGTATTTATTTACAGCACTTATATACTGCTCTTCTCACCTCAAAGGGGACTCAGAGCAGCTTACAATTAATACGTAAATGCAATATATTACATTATTAGCATAGCACAATCTATATAAATAAAAATGTAATGTTCGTCTGTGGGATTAACAGAACTCAAAAACCACTGGACGAATTGACACCAAATTTGGACACAAGACACCTAACAACCCAATGTATGTCCTTCACTAAAAAAAAAATGATTTTGTCATTTGGGAGTTGTAGTTGCTGGGATTTATAGTTCACCTACAATCAAAGAGCATTCTGAACCCCACCAATGATGGAATTGAACCAAACTTGGCACACAGTTCTCCCATGACCAACAGAAAATACTGGAAGGGTTTGGTGGGCATTGACCTTGAGTTTGGGAGTTGTAGTTCACCTACATCCAGAGACACTGTGGACTCAAACAAGGATGGATTTGGACCAAACTCTACACGAATACTCAATATGCCCAAATGTAAACACTGGTGGAGTTTGGGGAAAATAGAATCTTGACATTTGGGAGTTGTAGTTGCTGGGATATACAGTTCACCTTCAATCACAGAGCATTATGAACCCCACCAACGATAGAATTGGGCTGAACTTCCCACACAGAACCCCCATGTGGGCCACAGCAACGCGTGGCAGGGGATGGCTAGTATATAAAAAAAATGTAATGTTCGTTTGTGGGATTAACATAACTCAAAAACCACTTGACGAATTGACACGAAATTTGGACACAAGACACCTAACAGTCCAACAAGTGTTCATCACCCATTAACACACACTCACAAACACACACACACACACACACACAAAACCCAACAGAAACCCAGAACCCAATTAAAACCCCCAAAATACACCATATATACATATGGGATTGTGGCACAGCTGGCTGAGTGTCAGCTGCATTAAAGATCACTCTGACCAAACGGTCATGAGTTCGAAGCCAGCCCGGGTTGGAGTGCGTTTCCAACCAATTGTGTGTAGCCTGTTGTCGACCTTTGCAACCCAAAAGACAGTTGCATCTGTCAAGTAGGAAAATTAGGTACCACCTTAAAGTGTGGGGAGGCTAAATTAACTAATTTATGAGGCCATAAAGAAGACTCCAGCAAAGCATTCCAGCGGGGAAGCATGCGGGGAATGCGGAAGTGCTTCATCAGCGTCGCAGATGGACAATGAAAGCGACAGCTCCCCTGGCGGCCAGAAACAGTTAAATAGCCTCTGTCTGTGTCTGTATATGTTTGAATGTCAAAAATTGGCATTGAATGTTTGCCATATATGTGTACACTGTAATCCGCCCTGAGTCCCCTGCGGGGTGAGAAGGGCGGAATATAAATATACACATACACTCATATACATATTCATATACACACACCCCTATTATATATATATATATATATATATATATATATATATATGCACAAACACACACAAGTACACACATATACATATACATACATATATACATATACATATGCACACCCATATACATATCCACATACATGTTTACCATGTATATGTGCATTGTGATCCACCCTGAGTCCCCTGCGGGATGAGAAGGGTGAAATACAAATACTATAAATAAATAAATAAAAATAAATAAAAATAAGCTAAATATATATATAAATATAAACAAACAAACAAATAAATAAAAAGAAGCACCAGACAAAATGGAAGTTTGACACATCTTTAATTAAAAATTTTGACACAGCCCTGCCATAATGAGCCAGAAGTGGCGGAGTTTTCAAGTTATTTAGAAACATATCAATAACCCTGCGGCCTAGTAGAGAAGGCACGCTCAATATGTGAATCTGGGACAAGACTGATCACGTATCATTGAAACCAGGCCTGGGCCAACTTGGGCCCTCCAGGTGTTTTGGACTACAACTACCACAATTCCTAACAGCCTACCGGCTGTTAGGAATTGTGGGAGTTGTAGTCCAAAACACCTGGAGGGCCCAAGTTGGCCCAGGCCTAATTGAGACGATAATTAAAGGAAGGGGAACAACAAAAAGCCCCCAACCATCCAGCTAAGTCCAGCTTATGGGTCTGGAGGGGTTTGCAAGGCAGGAGTTTAGAAAGTTAGCTTCGTTTTGGACTGCACATCCCATTGCTGCTGTTACTAGGGGATGCTGGGAACTGTAGTCCAAAAGAATGAAAAAAATACCTCCTTTCCAAAGAGGTTGTTCCATTATTTCCTCAAACTGGGAACAAACGCGATGTTCAGGGTGCGCAAAGTAGCGGGTGACGGGTTCGAGAGGCGCACAACGAAAAGGGAGGATTTGGCAGATAGGAAATCAGACAAAAAATAAAATAGGAAATGAGCTTTATAGGAAATTGACGGTGCATAACCTTTTGGAAAAATCAGCAGTCGGTGGTGATCTTGGAGGAGAGCTCTTGGATGCGTTGCGCACTGCAGCTCTTGCACAAGATATGGCCGTCCAGCGGGTAGCAGCCCCGGCCTTCGCCTTCGGAGGACAGCAGGAGCCCGCATTCCTGCATTGAGGGAGAGAAGTCGCAATGAAAACCCAAATCGCAGCCATATTTTGGGTCCTGGAAAGGCATGACCTTTTAATAACCTTTTGGAAAACCATGATCTCTATAACCTTTTGGGTCCTGGAAGCAACAACAATGCTGCAAGAAGCAAGCATTTGTTTACGTGATGACATTTCCAGCTCCCTCTTGTGGTGCAATTAGGAACTCTGCATTGGAAAGGCATGACCTTTTAATAACCTTTTGGAAAACCATGATCTCTATAACCTTTTGGGTCCTGGAAGAAGGACAATACTGCAGGTAGCAAGCATTTGTTTACATTATGACATTTCCAGCTCCCTTTTGTGGTGCAATGAGGAACTGCGTGTTGGAAAGGCATAACCGTTTAATAACCTTTTGGAAAACCATGATCTGTATAACCTTTTGGGTCCTGGAAGCAAGGACAATGCTGCAAGAAGCAAGCATTTGTTTACATGATGACATTTCCAGCTCCCTCTTGTGATGGAATGAGGAACTGCGTGTTGGAAAGGCATGACCTTTAATAACCTTTTGGAAAACTATGATCTCCATAACCTTTTGGGTCCTGGAAGCAACAATAACGCTGCAAAAAGCAAGCATTTGTTTACATGACATTTCCAGCTCCCTCTTGTGATGGAATGAGGAACTGCAAGTTGGAAAGGCATGAACTTTAATAACCTTTTGGAAAACTATGATCTCCATAACCTTTTGGGTCCTGGAAGCAACAACAATGCTGCTAGAAGCAAGCATTTGTTTACATTATGACATTTCCAGCTCCCTCTTGTGGTGCACTGAGGAACTTTATGTTGGAAAGGCATGACCTTTCAATAACCTTTTGGAAAAATCACAATTTCCATAACCTTTTGGAGAAAAAAGGCACTCACAACCATTTGGAAATCATAACCTTTTGTAAAAGTATGATCTTCCAGAGAAGAGCCACAAAACTCATTTGAGTAAATTATATAATAATACTGGTAATACAATATAACAATTGTATAATTATATATTACATGTAATATTACAAATAATATTGCAGTATAGTAAGGAGCCCCTGGTGACGTAGTGCGTTAAACCAATGAGCTTCAGAGCTTGTTGACCAAAAGGTCGCAGGTTCGAATCCGGGGTGTGGTGTGAGCTTCCGCTGTCAGCCCCAGCTTCTGCCAACCTAGCAGTTCGAAAACATGCAAATGTGAATAGATCCAATAGGTACCACTCCGGTGGGAAGGTAACGGCACTGCATGCAGTCATGCTGGCCACATGACCTTGGAGGTGTCTACGGACAACGCCGGCTCTTCGGCTTAGAAATGGAGATGAGCACCACACTCCAGAGTCGGACACGACTGGACTTAATGTCAGGGGAAAACCTTTACCTAACCTATAGTGGTATAGTACAATGTAGTAATATATAATACCAATAATGCCCTATGCGAATAATATACTGTATGTACATATATTATTGATCATAATATTGTAATACAGTATAATACTAATAATAATACAGTACAATAATATTCCAACTTCATAACCAGCTTATGGCATTTTGGGAAACAAAGTATGCACTCCTAGGTCAATCCATAGGACAGGATTCAGCCCCACGCACGGCTTGAAGCCTCTCCCCAGAAGGAAACCCCCACCCAATTCCTCACCTCGCATTTGTAGCATCCGATGTGGAAGCTGCGGTCCAGGGCCACGATCCGCACCGTCTCTTCCTGCCCGGGTTCTGGCATGATGGCGTTGCCACACACCGAACAGCGCGGAGCAAACTTCCTATGGAGCCAGAAAGCAAAACAAGCTTGAAAACAAATAAACAAACAAACAAACAAAAAGAGAGCTCAGGAGATGTAAAGGAGCACAGGCCATGCCTGCCGCAGTCTGACTGTGGATGATGAGAGTTGTAGTCCATCAGAACCAGAGGGCTCCCAGGAGCAGAAGGATAAGTTTTGAAACTTTGGAATTCTCTCATGGATTTCAAATGGATTCTCAGAGGAGTTTTTTGCCAGTGGCATTAACTGGCGGTGTCCCATCCAAGTCCTAATCGGGGTCGGACCTGCTTAGCATCCAGAAAATCAATGCAGTTCAGCACAAAGGTGTTGTTATTTTTTTCTTTGAAGTCCTCCTTACCGATGGAAGTCTTCAATGCAGTGGATCTGGCTGGTGGCGTCGACGGTGAAAGGGACACCGTCCAAGCACCGGTGGCACACGACACACGTGAAGCACTGCGGGTGGTAGGTCTTGCCCATCGCCCTCAGGATCCGGTCCATGATCGGCTTGGAGCACATCGAACATTTCTCCAGGGTCACCTATCGAGACCAGGAATGGAAGCCAGTCTGGAAAAGGCAAGCCTTTCGAGATTGCCACTCCCAGAACCAATAATAATAATCAATAATCAATAATATAACTTGTTGAATATAAGATATCAAACATTTCTCCAAGATCATCTGTCGGGATGGAGAATGGAAGCCAGAGTCTGGAAAAGGCAAGCCTTTCAGGATTGCCAGTCCCAGAATCAATAATAATCAATAATAATAATAACCAATAACCAATAATAATAATAATAATAGAATTTGTTAAATAGAACACATCGAACATTTCTCCAGGGTCACCTGTCAGGACTGAGAACAAAATCCAGAGTCTGGAAAAGGCAAACCTTTCTGGATTGCCACTTCCAAAATAAATAATCAATAATCAATAATAATACAACTTGTCGAACAGAACATATTGAACATTTCTCCCGTGTCATCTGTCGGGACGGAGAACGGAAGCCACAGTCTCGAAAAGGTAAGCCTTTTGGGATTGCTACTCCCAGAATCAATAATAATCAATAATAATAATGATCAATAATAATAATAGAACTTGTGGAATAGAACATATTGAACATTTCTCCCGGGTCATCTGTCGGGATGGAGAACGAAAGCCAGAGTCTGGAAAAATTAAACCTTTTGAGATTGCCACTCCCAGAATCAATAATAATAATAATGATCAATAATAATAATAGAACTTGTGGAATAGAACACATCGTGCATTTCTCCAGGGTCATCTGTCGGGATGGAGAATGGAAGCCAGAGTCTGGAAAAGGCAAGCCTTTCAGGATTGCAGGCCCAGAATCAATAATCAATAATAATAATAATAATAACCAATAATCAATCATAATAATAGAATTTGTTAAATACAGCACATCAAACATTTCTTCAGGGTCACCTGTTGGGACCGAGAACAAAATTCAGAGTTCCTGGACTGCTGCTTCCAGAATAAATAATAATAATAATCAATAATAATAATAAATAATCAATAATAATAATAGAACGTATCGAATAGAACATATTGAACATTTCTCCCATGTCATCTGTCAAGGTGGAGAACGGAAGCCAGAGTCTGGAAAAGGTAAGCCTTTTGGGATTGCCACTCCCAGAATCAATAATAATCAATAATAATAAGGATCAATAATAATAATAGAACTTGTGGAATAGAACACATCGAACATTTCTCCAGGGTCACCTGTCAGGATGGAGAATGGACACCAGAGAATGGAAAAGGCAAGCCTTTTGGGATTGCCACTCCCAGAATCAATAATAATAATAATAATCAATAATAATCATAGAATTTGTCAAATTGAACACATTGAACATTTCTCCAAGGTCACCTGTTGGGGTGGAAAATGTAAGCCAGAGTTTGGAAAAGACAAGTCTTTCAGGACTGTTGCTCCCAGAATCAATAATAATCAATAACAATCAATAATCAATAAATAATAATAATAATGGTACTTGTCCAAGCTTTGTTACAATAAAGCCCATCATACCAATCCTCCGGAATAAAGCTTGAAAACAAATATGCCCAAACCACCCACAAGGAGAGGCCGGTAAGATATTATTGTTGTTGTTGTCGTTGTTGTTATTATTATTATTATAGTAATAAGCAAGAACTATGGAAAGAGATGTCTTTGGACTGCAGCTCCCAGAATCCCTTAGTACATTTGGGAGCTCTAGTTCAATTTTTTGGATATTCCCAACTATTGCCTCATACAGATAGAAGAATTTTTGGAAATGCAATCTGAAGAGCAACTTTCACCAAATATAGTGCAGTACCCACAGCTGAACACTAGAGGCCACTGAAGTTCCAAAAACTTTTTAGCATGGAAAGAAACTTGCTTAATTATGAATATAATGAATAGAGTTTATATATAGAGAGAGTTATATACTATAGTTGCCTGTTTTTGCTCAAAAGATATTTAGCCGCTTGTGCTTCTTCTATTTTTATCTGTGTTATACTAATGTATGCAATGCTTTTGATACAAAATAAATCTATACACATAACAAAAGTGAAAATCTGTATGTGGCAGACGTGTCTGTTCACACAGACGGCCTCCACAAATAGGCTATTGTTTCCAGTGCTGAGAAGACAGCAAGTCACTCTCTCGAAGGACATTGCAGGTTATAGCAAGCACATCCCAGTGTTCCTTTCTCTCTTCATTTGCATGACCCCACCCAGTGCTTCTCTCTTATCCGTTTCAACCCTTTCCTATGACACACAGCAGAGGAATTGATCAGCAACTGAACATACTGGAGAAGTTTGGAGAGAATTCACAATGATTTATAGGAGTTGTAGGGACTGGGATGCATAGTTCATCTGCAATCTAAGAGCACTCTGAACTGCACCAATGATGGACCTGGAACTCCCTTGGCACACAGACCCACCATGGGCAATTGTCCATACTCACAGAGTTTAGGGGTGATTACCCCGAGAGTTGTAGTTCGCCCTTATCCAGAGAACAGTGAACTCAGCCAGCGATGGATCTGAACCAAACTTGGCACAGAACCAACATGGCCAGTTGTGCATACCGGCTGAGCTTGGGGATGATTGCCCTGGGAATCTGGGAGTTGTAGTTCACAATTACCTAGATATCATTGAACCCAGCTGCTGTCGGATCTGGACCAAACTTGGCACACAGATCCAACATGGCCAACTTTAAGTAATGGCAGGATTTGGGAATGACTGACCCATGATTCTGGAAATTGTAGTTCACCCACATCATTATGCATTTTCTAATGGGAGCATTAAAAAGGTTGGGTGAGAGGATGCAGCCTTGCCGGACGCCTTTCCCAATCTTGAACCGGTCTCCTGTTCCGTGGTCAGTTCTGACTGTTGCTCCTTGGTCCTTGTACAGATTCCTCAGGAGAGAGAAGGGGGCTTGGGATGCCCATCCCACTAAGAACTTGCCACAATTTATTATGATCCACACAGTCAAAGGCTTTAGAATAGTCAATGAAGCAGAAGTAGATGTTTTTCTGAAACTCCCTGCCTTTCTTCATTATCCAGCGGATATTGGCAATCTGGTCTCTCGTTCCTCTGCCTTTTCTAAACCCAGCTTGAACATCTGGCAACTCTTGCTCCATGTATTGCTGGAGTCTTCCTTGCAGAAAGCTGGGGTGAAAATGGCTGGAAGAAACATTCACAACCTCAGATATGCAGATGACACCACTCTGATGGCCGAAAGCGAGGAGGAGCTGAGGAGCCTTCTAATCAAGGTGAAAGAAGAAAGCGCAAAAGCCGGGTTGCAGCTAAACGATCAAAAAAACCAAGATTATGGCAACAAGAATGATTGACAACTGGGAAATAGAGGGAGAAAATGCGGAGGCCGTGACAGACTTTGCATTTCTAGGCGGGAAGATGACTGTAGATGCAGACTGTGGCCAGGAAATCAGGAGACGCTTCCTTCTTGGGAGGAGAGCAAGGTCCAGTCTCGATAAAATAGTCAAGAGTAGAGACATCAGACTGGCAACCAAGATCCATTGCCTAGTCAAAGCCATGGTATTCCCTGTAGTCACCTATGGATGTGAGAGCTGGACCTTAGGGAAGGCTGAGAGAAGGAAGAGAGATGCTTTTGAGCTGTGGTGTTGGAGGAAAGTTCTGAGAGTGCCTTGGACTGCGAGAAGATCCAACCAGTCCATCCTCCAGGAAATAAAGCCCGACTGCTCACTGGAGGGAAAGATACTAGAGACAAAGTTGAAGTACTTTGGCCACATCATGAGGAGACAGCAAAGCCTAGAGAAGGGAATGATGCTGGGGAAAGTGGAAGGCAAAAGGAAGAGGGGCCGACCAAGGGCAAGATGGATGGATGGCATCCTTGAAGTGACTGGACTGACCTTGAAGGAGCTGGGGGTGGTGACTGCCGACAGGGAGCTCTGGCGTGGGCTGGTCCATGAGGTCACGAAGAGTCGGAGACGACTGAACGAATGAACAACAAAAACCAAACTTCACAAAACAAACAATGCCTTCTCAAATAACCCAGGCACCGCCGCGTCCCCAAGCTAGTAAATAAATAAAAGTTAATATACAGTATCATATATACTCGAGTATAAGCCAATCCGAATTTAAGCTGAGACACCTAACTTTACCACAAACAACTGGGGAAATGTATTGACTTGAGTATAAGGCGAGGGTGGGAAATGCAGCAGCTGCTGGTAAATTTCAAAATAAAAATAGATACCAATAAAATTCTATTAATTGAGGCATCAGGTTCAATGTTTTTGAATATTTACACAAAACTGTCATTTAAGATAAGACTGTCCAACTCCGATTAAACCATTATTCCAACCTTCTTCAATGTAAATTTGCTTCTGTATCCTTCCAATAATAATGAGAGTAAAATAATAATAATAATAATAATAATAATAATAGACTAAAATACTGGAAATGTAATAACAGTAATAATAGAGTAAAATAATAAATGCAATAAAAATAATAAGAGTAAAATAATAAAAATAATAATAGAGTAAAATAATAAATGTAATAATAATAGACTAAACTAATAAATACAATAAAATAATAATAGAGTAAAATAATAAATATAATAAATATAATCTATATAAATAAAAATGTAATGTTCGTCTGTGGGATTAACAGAACTCAAAAGCCACTGGATGAATTGACACCAAATTTGGGCACAAGACACCTAACAACCCAATGTATGTCCTTCACTCAAAAAAAAATGATTTTGTCATTTGGGAGTTGTAGTTGCTGGGATTTATAGTTCACCTACAATCAGAGAGCATTCTGAACCCCACCAACGATGGAATTGAACCAAACTTGGCACACAGTTCTCCCATGACAGAAAATACTGGAAGGGTTTGGTGGGCAGTGTCCTTTGGTTTTGGAGTTGTAGTTCACCTACATCCAGAGAGCACTGTGGACTCAAACAATGATGGATCTGGACCAAACTCTACACGAATACTCAATATGCCCTGGGAGGTTTGGCCCAATTCTATCATTGGTGGGGTTCAGAATGGGCAACTATTTATATATATATATATATATATATATATATATAGAGAGAGAGAGAGAGAGAGAGAGAGAGAGAGAGAGATGCCCATTTTTGGTCAAAAGATATTTAGCTACTAGTGTTCTTTCTATTATTATCTGTTTTATACTAATTTATGCAAGGCTTTTGATACGAAATAAATAAATAAAAGTTAATATATTAATGTTAAGATGAATAAGAAGGAATATATACATTTTATAATGCATAAGTAATAATATAATTAATATAATGAAATTGTAAATATAACAAATCACAAGAAGATCTGAATTTGGCGAAGGATAAGAAGCATTTGGCGAAGGATGAGTCGCCCCCGGGCTGAGAACAGCGGTATAGAAGCAAAGGTATAGAAGCACATTGCTATTGGCTGTTAGGAATGGTGGGAGTTGAAGTCCAAAACACCTGGAGGGAGGTCCCAAGTTGGCCCATTTGTGTATGTCTACTTGGTTCCTCTGTATTGCTGTGTGGCATGCTCTGTCTCATTGTGAACGAAATAAAAGGACCCTTTTAATGTTTCTTAAAGTTTGAAAAGTCTTCACGACAGGTTCCCGGGACTTACGATGTAGCAGGACTCGCAGTAGGAGCGCCGGTCGATGGCGTAGAAGGGCTGCCCTCGGAGGCGGCATCGGCAGGTGGCACAGGTGAAGCACTCCACGTGGAAGACCTGGTCCATGGCCACGCAGCCCGTCCCGTCCCCCACCACGTTCTCCCCGCACCGGGAACACCGCCCTACAAAAGGTTGGATAAGCGATGAGTGAGGAAGCAGCCCTGCACAATGCAGAACAAATGCAGTTCGATGGCAGAGAAGACAAAAAGGCCTTGTCAAACTAGGACTCCCATTACCCCATAGGTTTGAGCCTTGGCAGTCAAAGTCAAGCCTGACTGCATTCCTTCTACAAGGAATGGATCTTCCGAACATGGGGCACACATCCAACAAAGGGGCAATTTGATTTTTAATTGGAGCAATTCGAGAATTGCTCCAATTAATAGTAGTAGTAGTAGTAGTAGTAGTTTATTCAGTGCTTAGACCATAGGTCTTTCACATACAGGACAGAGAAATAAATACATTAAAACCAGATTGTTAAATACAATATGGAATATGCCTTTAAGATACTACATGAGTCACAATAACATCTGTTCTAGAACTCCAATACGCTGATGATAACGTAGTCTGTGCGCAATCAGAACAACACCTGCAAGCCAGTCTAAACACCTTTGCAGAAGCATACAAGAAGCTCGGCCTCTTACTGTACATTGAGAATGAGTTATTAATATCACAATAACATCTGTTCTAGAACTCCAATATGCTGATGATAACGTAGTCGGTGCACATTCAGAACAACACCTGCAAGCCAGTCTAAACACCTTTGCAGAAGCATACGAGAAGCTCGGGCTCTTACTGTACATTGAGAATGAGTTATTAATATCACAATAACATCTGTTCTAGAACTCCAATATGCTGATGATAACGTCATCTGTGCGCATTCAGAACAAGACCTGCAAGCCAGTCTAAACACCTTTGCAGAAGCCTACAAGAAGCTCGGCCTCTTACTGTACATTGAGAATGAGTTATTAATATCACAATAACATCTGTACTATAACTCCAATATGCTGATGATAACGTAGTCTGTGCACATTCAGAACAACACCGGCAAGCCAGTCTAAACACCTTTGCAGAAGCATACAAGAAGCCTGGCCTCTCACTGAACACTGAGAATGAGTTATTAACAGTAGAAGTAGTAGTTTATTTAATGTTTAGACCATAGGTCTTTCACATACAAGACAGAGAAATAAATACATTAAAACCAGATTGTTAAATCCAATGCGGAATATGCCTTTAAGATACTACATGAGTCACAATAACATCTGTTCTAGAACTCCAGTATGCTGATGATAATGTAGTCTGTGCACATTCAGAACAACACCTGCAAGCCCGTCTAAACACCTTTGCAGAAGCATACAAGAAGCTTGGACACTTACTGTACATTGAGAATGAGTTATTAATATCACAATAACATCTGTTCTAGAACTCCAATATGCTGATGATAACGTAGTCTCTGCGCAATCAGAACAACACCTGCAAGCCCGTCTAAACACCTTTGCAGAAGCATACGAGACGCTCGGCCTCTTACTGAACATTGTGGAATGAGTTATTAATATCACAATAACATATGTTCTAGAACTCCAATATGCTGATGATAACGTAGTCTGTGCACAATCAGAACAACACCTGCAAGCCAGTCTAAACACCTTTGCAGAAGCATACGAGAAGCTCGGCCTCTTACTGAACACTGAGAATGAGTTATTAACAGTAGAAGTAGTAGGTTATTTAATGCTTCGACCATAGGACAGAGAAATAAATACATTAAAACCAGACTGTTAAATCCAATACAGAATATGCCATTAAGATACTACATGAGTCACAATAACACCTGTTCTAGAACTCCAATATGCTGATGATAACATAGTCTGTGCACATTCAGAACAAGACCTGCAAGCTACTCTAAACACCTTTACAGAAGCATATGAGAAGCTCAGCCTCTTACTGAACATTGAGAATGAGTTATTAACAGTAGTAGTAGTAATAGTAGTTTATTTAATACTTAGACCATAGATCTTTCACATACAGGACAGAGAAATAAATACATTAAAACCAGATAGTTAAATACAATACGGAATATGCCATTTAGATACTACATGAGTCACAATAACATTTATTCTAGAACTCCAATATGCTGATGATAACGTAGTTTGTGCACATTCAGAACAACACCTGCAAGCCAGTCTAAACACCTTTGCAGAAGCCTACAAGAAGCTCGGCCTCTTACTGAACATTGAGAATGAGTTATTAACAGTAGTAGTAGTTTATTTAATGCTTAGACCACAGGTCTTTCACATACAGGACAGAGAAATAAATACATCGAAACCAGATTGTTAAATCCAATGTGGAATATGACTTTAAGATACTACATGAGTCACAATAACATATGTTCTAGAACTCCAATATGCTGATGATAACGTAGTCTGTGCGCAATCAGAACAACACCTGCAAGCCAGTCTAAACACCTTTGCAGAAGCATACAAGAAGCATGCAAGAAGCTGTTAGGAATTGTGGGAGTTGTAGTCCAAAACACCTGGAGGGCCCAAGTTGGCTCATGCTTAGATCCACCCATAGAAGGTGGCAACTATTTTATGACAATGGTGTAAATTTCCCAGAGAGCTTACCAAAATACTCCCCTGATGGAGGGTGATTCATATCGTAGACCAACTTCTTCGTGAGTCGGTCCAGCTCCTCTTCGGGGCGGCTCGGAGGGGCCTGGAAATGGACGCATGTGAAAGAAAGCACAGTAAAGAAAAGAAACCCTCAATTATATGTTCTATCTTTGCAATTCAACATGCCTCAAGCCATGAGCAGGGGCAGGTAACATATAAACATCATCACAATCAACATTATTATTATTATTATTATTATTATTATTATTATTATTATTATTATTTGAAACACCACAAGATGAGTCCGCAGCACACACTCTGCTTGCTGTTGTATTGGATCACACGTCGGACCCTTCCCAAGTGTCTAGGACTGTGTGATGTATTGGCGAATAATGCATGCAGATCCCAGTAAGGTGGACTTTTGCAGCTGGCAGATGGTGAATTTGTCAGCACCGATTGTGTTTAAGTGCAGGCCAAGGTCTTGAGGCACTGCACCCAGTGTGCCGATCACCACTGGGACCCCCTTGACTGGCTTGTGCCAGAGTCTTTGCAGTTGGATCTTCAAATCCTCATATTGTGTCAGCGTTTCCAGTTGTTTCTCTTCAATCCTGCTGTCACCTGGGATTGCAACATCAATGACCCATACTTTGTTTTTTAACACCATCATGAGGTCAGCAGTCTTGTGCTCCAGAACTCTGTGTCTGAATTAGAAGTCCCAGAGTAGCTTGACATGTTCATTCTCTGTAACTTTTTCCGGCTTGTGATCCCACCCGTTCTTTGTCGCAGGCAGATGGTATTTGTGGCACAAGTTCCAATGAATCACCTGAGCAACGGTGTTGTGCCTCTGCTTGGAGTCTCTCTGTGCGATCTTCTTGCAGCAGCTGAGGATGGGATCTATTGTTTCATCTGCTTCCTTGCAGATTATTATTATTATTATTATTATTCCTTTGTTGTTGTTGTTGTTGTTATTATTATTATTAAACACAATTTTTGTTCCTGGGTTATCAATGTCATTTCCTAGTTGACACTATCATAAAAACATCATAAAAACATGGGGAAAGTTTACTAAACTGCAAAAACTGTGTTGCTACAGGAGGGGCATCATCCTGCTATAGCACATTTTGTTCTAGTTTTTCCATGAATCTCTCGTCACCGAGTCTCAACCGATTCAAGAGAGTGGCAGCCACAAGAACGAAGTTTCCGGAGTAGAACAACTACTTTCAAATAAGGGTCGCACAATTGAACAGGAAGTAAAACTTCCAAATCAGGAAGAGAATTTGTTTCCAAATTTTGCTACACAGTGTTATTATTCTTATTCGATTTTGTAATACGTCATATCAGGCATATCAGGAAAACTTCAGCCCCGCTAGGTGTTTTGGACTTAAATTCCCACAATTCCTAACAGCCGACCTCACAATCAGGCCTACAATACGGTTCTGGCCCAGCTTATCTCCCTCTACGATCCACTTCGGAGTCTAAGATCATCCAGGGAAGCCCTGCTCTCAATCCTCTCTCCTTCACAAGCGAGATTGGCGGGGACGAGACAGGTGTCAGAAGTCAATTTCTGACGGCGTGAAGACATCACAAATTCCCTCTGTGACATCCTGACTGACTCAATTCTCTGCGACATTTTGAAGTCAGCAGAGGGTACTGGAAACCTTGTATTGGAACTTGTGAAGCAACAAGTTCTATTAAGGAAACTGAGAAGAGGGGGAGGTGGGCAGGAAAGGTGTATAAAAGGAAGTGGTGGTGGGAAAAAGTCAGCAGTGTCTTTCTTTGCTGCAGAGATATGAGCAATATATCCATTTCAAAGCAAAACCGGCTTGTGAGTGGTTATTTAATATTGCTATATAGATCCTGGCATGGACTGGTCCATGAAGTCACGAAGAGTCGGAAACGACTGAACGAATGAACAACAAATATAGATCCTACAGTGGTACATCCTTCTCAGTGGTGCCCCCCTCCCCATCTGGGAATACACTCCCCAGTGAAATTAGGTAGGCTCCATCTATCCATTCCTTTAGGAAGAAGCTCAAATTATGGTTCTGTGACCAGGCATTTTTGTAGCAGGCTTCACAAGTAATCGAAATGATTCATGAAAACTGATAAGTGACAAGCTTTGAACTCGAACTCTGGTTGTTGAACTGGACTTGGGTGTGGTTATATTGCTGCTTTTAATTTGATATTTTATAACTTATTGTATTAATTAATGCTTTTATTGCTTTTGATGTCTTACACTGTTTAATGTTTTTTTTAAATCTATTATGTTTTATGTATACTGATTTGTTGGAAACCGCCTTGAGTCGAATTGGCTGAGAAAGGCGGTATACAAATATAAATAATGTCGATTTGTATTATATTGTTTTGTTGTATGTACTGGCATCCGTACAGTGGCCCTTATTTCTCATCATGACAGTAAGGGAATGCTCAAGGTCCTGCAAGGAAGAGTCCAGCAATACATGGAGCGAGTGTTGCCAGACATTCAAGCTGGGTTTAGAAAAGGCAGAGGAACCAGAGACCAGATTGCCAATATCCGGATGCTGGAGAATGGAGAAAGGCAGGGAGTTTCAGAAAAACATCTACTTCTGCTTCATTGACTATTCTAAAGCCTTTGACTGTGTGGATCATAATAAATTGTGGCAAGTTCTTGGTGGGATGGGCATCCCAAGCCCCCTCCCCTCTCTCCTGAGGAATCTGTACAAGGACCAAGGAGCAACAGTCAGAACTGACCACGGAACAACAGACAGGTTCAAGATTGGGAAAGGCGTCCGGCAAGGCTGCATCCTCTCACCCAACCTTTTTAACTTGTATGCAGAACACATCATGCGAGGATGTGCGGGGCTTGAGGAATGCAAAGCTGGGGTGAAAATTGCTGGAAGAAACATTAACAACCTTAGATATGCAGATGACACCACTTTGATGGCCGAAAGCGAGGAGGAGCTGAGGAGCCTTCTAATCAAGGTGAAAGAAGAAAGCGCAAAAGCTGGGTTGCAGCTAAAATCAAAAAAACCAAGATTATGGCAACAAGAATGATTGACAACTGGGAAATAGAGGGAGAAAACGTGGAGGCAGTGACAGACTTTGTATTTCTAGGTGCAAAGATTACTGCAGATGCAGACTGCAGCCAGGAAATCAGGAGACGCTTACTTCTTGGGAGGAGAGCAATGTCCAGTCTCGATAAAATAGTGAAGAGTAGAGACATCAGACTGGCAACCAAGATCCATTGCCTAGTCAAAGCCATGGTATTCCCTGTAGTCACCTACGGATGTGAGAGCTGGACCTTAGGGAAGGCTGAGCGAAGGAAGATCAATGCTTTTGAGCTGTGGTGTTGGAGGAAAGTTCTGAGAGTGCCTTGGACTGCGAGAAGATCCAACCAGTCCATCCTCCAGGAAATAAAGCCCGACTGCTCACTGGAGGGAAGGAGACTAGAGACAAAGTTGAAGTATTTTGGCCACATCATGAGGAGACAGCAAAGCCTAGAGAAGACAATTATGCTGGGGAAAGTGGAAGGCAAAAGGAAGAGGGGCCGACCAAGGGCAAGATGGATGGATGGCATCCTTGAAGTGACTGGACTGACCTTGAAGGAGCTGGGGGTGGTGACGGCCGACAGGGAGCTCTGGCATGGGCTGGTCCGTGAGGTCACAAAGAGTCGGAGATGACTGAACAAATGAACAACAACTGGCATCGAATTGCTACCGGAAGTAAGCTGCCCTGAGCACCCCCTCGGGGTTTGAGAAGGACAGGGTACAAATGTTTGAAATAAATACAGTATATTCTGGCGTATAAGACTACTTTTTAACCCAAGAAAATCTTCTCAAAAGTCAGGGGTCGTCTTATACGTGGGTGTAGTCTTATGCATGGGAGTTGTCTTAACTCTATATTTTAACTGGAAAAGTTGGGGGTCGTCTAATACGCCCAGTCGTCTTATATGCCGGAATATACGGTAAATAAATACTAACCATGAGGCCTATTCTCCCACTGAGGTCATCTCTCACAGAGGCTTCCCTCACACTGAGAGCTGTCTCAGACTAAGGCAATACAAAGCAACAGGCACGCCTGTTTATATTGAACCACAGCTTCTCTGAGTTAGGAATTGTGGGAGTTGAAGTCCAAAACACCTGGAGGGCCAGAGTTTTCCCATACCTGTGTTATATGTATCAATGTGTTACATAGTATTATTACTACTACTACTACTACAATAACTACTATTCCATTTACCTGGTGCTGGTACCTCATTCCTCCACCACTCGTAGGCATCTGGGGGGCAACTGCTGCATCCTCCTTCACTGGTTTGCCCATCCCGGCCAGAAATGGCCCGACACCCGGCTGTGGTGGTCCCCCCTTGGGGTAGAGCTCCCCTTCGGCCACCCGCCGACCGTAGGAGGGGGGCTCTGGATACCATGGCTCCCCTGCCTCCAGAGGCCGGGCCCGGACCCCCGGCTCTGAGGCGTACTGTGGGGGTGGCCTGACACCGTAGCTGGGCCGCGGAGACGGTGGCCCGTAGGCGAGCTCTGGCCGGCGCCGGGGCTGGTGGTACCCCAACACCGGCTGGGCCACCTTCACCTGGACATTGACCGGCGGTCCAGTGGCAGACGACGTGGTGGTGTAAGAGGCCGGGATGGGCTGCGGGAATGGTCTGGGCATCCCGGTTGCCCGGTGGTAGCCATAGGAATCCCCCGGAAGAGGAGAGGCGGCCGGATAGGACTGGACAGCACTGTAGTTGGGTCCACTCTTGGCAAAGGCGCTGTCGGTGGCAACAAAGGCGGAAGGCTTGGCCGGAGGGAAGGTCCCGGAAAGTCCTGGCTTGTAAACGGGCACCGGTTTGGCAATGCCGGACTGCGGAAGGGCCGGAGAGTAAGGGGAGGGGTCCAGGTTCTGCAAGAGAGGAAAGGAAAACAGCTCAATGTGTTGTTGAAGACTTTCATGGCCGGAGTCACTGGGTTGCTGTGAGTTTTCTGGGTTGCATGGCCATGTTCCATTAGAATTCACTGTCAGAAATATAACTATGCTAACTAGCTATTTTTAATTACAAAAATGTGAGTTAAGCACTGAAAGGGTTAAATGGATGCAATGACTCAGCAAAAGCTGCAGTTCTATATAAGCAGGTGTGCCTGTAGCTTAGTAGCCTCAGTTTGAGAGAGGTCTCAGTGAGAGAAGGCCTCAGCATTAGTTTGCCTCAGTGTGAGAGAGGCGTTGGTCTGAGAGAGCCTTCAGTGGGAGAGAGGCCTCAGTGGGAGAGAGGCATGAGTCTGAGAGAGCCCTCAGTGTGAGAAGGCCTCAGTGGGAGAAAGGCCTCAGTGTTGGTAGGCCTCAGTATGAGAGAGGTATCGGTCTAAGAGAGCCCTCAGTGTTAGCAGACCTCAGTATGAGAGAGGCTTTGGTCTGAGAGAGCCGTCAGTATGAGCAGGCCTCAGTGGGAGAAAGGCTTTGGTCTGAGAAAGCCGTCAGTGTGAGCAGGCCTCAGTGGGAGAAAGGCCTCAGTCTGAGAGAGCCCTCAGTGTGAGGCCTCAGTGTTGGTAGGCCTCAGTGTGAGAGAGGTATTGGTCTAAGAGAGCCCTCAGTGTTAGTAGGCCTCAGTATGAGAGAGGCTTTGGTCTGAGAGAGCCGTCAGTGTGAGCAGGCCTCAGTGGGAAAAAGGCCTCAGTCTGAGAGAGGCATCAGTGTGAGAAAACCTCAGTGGGAGAAAGGCCTCAGTGGGAGAGAGGCATCAGTCTGAGAGAGGCATCAGTCTCAATATGAGAGAGCCATCAGTGTGAGCAGGCCTCAGTGGGAGAAAGGCCTCAGTGGGAGAGAGGCATCAGTCTGAGAGAGGCATCAGTATCAGTAGGCCTCAGTATGAGAAGCCTCAGGTGTGAAGCTCCAGTGTGAAAGTTCAACTTTATTTGTATTATGGAAACCTTGTTTTTGTAAATAGTGCAACCTTGTTATTTTGCTATGAAGAAAGGCCTTTTATGGAAGATATAACATTGGTCAGTGTGTTTTTGTCCTTTTTATCACTTTTGGGCATATTGCTGCTAATAAGTTACTCTGCTGTACATGTATGAGGAGGGTCTTTTGTTAATTAGCCCACTTGCCCAACATTCTCTCCTGACCTTTCACCTGCAGGGTGGGAGAAAGTACCCTTGTCTGCTTAAAGCACGTGCAAATGTTGCAATTAACAAGCTTGAATAGCATTGAGTAGCCATGAAGCTGCAAAGTCAATCAGTGAGGGTATCTGCATAGAGGTAGCTTGGGTTTGGGAACTCCAGACAGCAAACAATCAAGGGCCAGTTAACACTCCACTTGCATCACTTGCAACAGACCTCTGAACAAACTTCTGTGGATGCTAGCCACAGATGCAGGTGAAACGTCAGGAGATAATGCTACTGGAACATAGCCATACAGCCTGAAAAACTCACAGCAACGCAGAAAACAGCTCAATCGCCAGGAAAGTAAGGAAGAGGAGGGCGAATCAGAGCTTGGACATTCTTTCTGACCCAAACTGACCCATCGCTGCCGCCCACTGCTTACCGGCCTCTCTCCTCGCCGCTGCGGCCGAATACCTTCCATGTCGGCCAACATGCTGGTCAGCGAGTCGATCTGGAGGTCGATGCTGGTGGAGTGGGGAGGGCCCTGGTCCAGAGAGGGCGCCCCTTGCTGGAGAAGGAGGGGAAGGAAGAAAAGTAGGGAGGACCCTGGGATGTGCAGTTTTGCAAGGGCTGGGGCCATGCCAAACTTCAACTCTCAGGATTGGATAGGCAGTGGAATGGAAATCAAACTGCATTCATTCTACAGCAGGCATGGGCAAACTAGGGCCCTCCCTCCAGGTGTTTTGGACTTCAACTCCCACCATTCCTAACAGCCTCAGGCACTTTCCTTTTCCTCCGCTTAAGCGGCTGAGGGGGAAAAGGAAGGGGCCTGAGGCTGTTAAGAAAAAGGAGGAAAGAAGGAAGAAAGGAGGGAAGGGAGGAAAAAAGAGAAGGAAGGAAGGAAGGGAGGAAAGGAAGAAGGAATAAAGGAAGAAAAGAAAGAATAAAGAAAGAAGGAAGGAAAGGAAAAGAAAGGAAGAAAGAAAGAAAAAAGGAGGAAGGGAGGGAGGGACGAAGGAAGGAATAAAGGTAGGATGAAAGGAAAGATGGAAGTAAGGTTAGAAAGGATGGAGGGAGGAAAGAAGGAGGGAATAAATGAAGGGAAGAAAGAAGGAAGATAAGAAGGAAGGAAGGAAGGAAGGAAGGAAGGAAGGAAGGAAGGGGAAGGGGAAGGGAAAGAGGGAGGGAGGAAGTGAGGAAGTGAGGAAGGAAGGAAGAAGAAAGGGAGGGAGGGAGGGAGAAAGGGAGGGAAGAAAAAAAGGAAGGGATGAGGGAAGGAATCAAGAAAGGAAGAAAAGAAAGAAGGAAGGAAGGAAGGGGAGGGGAAAGGAAAGGAAAGTAAAGGAAAAGAAAAAAGAGAGAAAGAAAAAAGGGAGAAAAGAAGGGAGGGAGGGACGAAGGAAAGAAGAAAGGTAGGAAGAAAGGAAAGATGGAAGTAAGGGTGGAGAGAGGAAAGAATAAAGGAAGGGAAGAAAGAAGGAAGAAAGGAAGAAAGGTGGGGGAGGGAGGAAAGAAAGGAAAGAAGAAAGAAGAAAGGGAGGGACGAAGGAAGGAAGAAAGGTAGGAGAAAGGAAAGATGGAAGTAAGGAAGGAAAGAATGGAGGGAGGAAAGAAGGAGAAGAAAAAAGGAAGGGAAAGGGGGGAGAAGGAAAGAAGGAAAGGGAGAAGGAAAGAAGAAAGAGAGGGAGGGAGGGAGGAGAAGGAAAGGGAGGAAGGAAGGAAAAATGGAAGGATGGTGGAAAGGAAGGGGGAGGAAAGAAGGAAGGAATAAAGGAAGAAAGGAAGGAAGGAAGAAGAAGGAAAGGGAAAGGAGGGAGGGAGGAAAGGAGAAGGAAGGAAGGAAGAAGGAGGAAGGAGGGAAAGAAGGAAGAAAGAAGAAAGAAAGAGAGAAAGGAAAGGAGGGAGGGAGGAGGAATGAAGGCCAGGGAAGAGAGGAAGGAAGGAAGGAAGGAAGGAAGGAAGGAAGGAAGGAAGGAAGGAAGGAAGGAAGGAAGGAAGGAAAGAAGGAAAGAGAAAACCAGGACAGGTGGTAGTCCAATGTTGTTGGGAATCTAATCCAAAAGCCCTCCTGCATGCAAACCAGGTGCTTTAGCCATTGTTTGCATTCCTGAAGCACCGGAAATATACATCTAAATTGATTTATTTTACAGTAAAACCTCAGAAAATAGTACCTCCAGGAATTTGTTACGTCCTCCAGTGCAGCTCTATGGTACACGGGGACAGAAGTCGGGTCATTTCCTGCCATTTAGGCCAGTGGTCTGGTCTTTTTTATGACTTAATAGCAATGAATGTATTCTATACAACTTTCTGTTATACTGATGAATGGAAAGGCAGTCCAGAACTAGGGAAAATTCCTAAATTTTGGACTACAACTCCCAGAATCCCCCCAGCAGCCACAGTTGGGAGTTGTACAAAGATTTTTGCAAATTTAATAAACTTTTCCCAAGTTTTTACGATCGAATCAATTAGGAAGTGACATTGATAACCCAGGAACAGAAACCGTGTTGCATAGTGTTATATGACACGGTTTCCCACTCTGCAAGGAAACTGAAATACTCCACTGACCTGCAAGGCATAGGCGGAGTGGGAGACACCTGCCCAGGATCCCCCTGATCCGCGCTCGTCCGCAGGTGAGTAATGATGCTCAGGTGAGGAATCCCGGAGAAGAGGAGGAGGAGGACCTGGCAATGCCCAAGAATGGAAGACAAGAGGGTTAGAGCAGGAACGGGCACACTTTGGCCCTCCAGGTGTTTTGGACTTCAACTCCCACAATTCCTAACAGCAAGTAGGCTGTTAGGAATTGTGGGAGTTGAAGTCCATAACACCTGGAGGGCCCAAGTTTGTTATTACCTGAGTTAGAGAAAGGATGGAGAGTGAAACTATGACTTCCCTCAATCTAGACACTGGACTCCAAGGGATGCAGCCTAGAATTGCGTTGGTCTTTTCAGCTGCAGCATCACACTGTTGACTTATGATCAGCTTGTGGTCTCCTAAGACTCCTAGATTCCTTTCACATGGATTGTTTCCAAGCCAAGTGTCCTCCATCCAATACCATATTTATGCCTTATGATGATGACTCTATTATTATTATTATTATTATTATTTAAATGGTAATTTTGTCAGCGCCTATTGTGTTTAAGTGCAGGCCAAGGTCTTTAGGCACTGCACCCAGTGTGCTGATCACCACTGGGACACTATTATTATTATTATTATTATTATTATTATTATTATTAGAAACACAACAAGATGAGTCCACAGCAGACACTCTGCTGGCTGTTGTATTGGATCACACGTCGGACACTTCCCAAGTGTCTAGGACTGTGTGATGTATCGGCGAATAATGCGTGCAGATCCCAGTAAGGTGGCCTTCTGCGATTGTGTTTAAGTGCAGGCCAAGGTCTCTAGGCACTGCACCCAATGTGCCGATCACCACTGGGACCACCTTTACTACTACTACTACTACTACTACTACTACTACTACTATTATTTGAAACACAACAAGATGAGTCCACAGCAGACACTCTGCTGGCTGTTGTATTGGATCACATGTCGGACCCTTCCCAAGTGTCTAGGTAATGTATCAACGAATAATGCATGCAGACCCCATTAAGGTGGCCTTCTGAGGTTGTGTTTAAGCGCAGGCCAAGGTCTTGAGGCACTGTACCCAGTGTGCCGATCACCACTGGGACCACCTTGACTGGCTCATGCCAGAGTCTTTGCAATTCGATTTTTAAATCCTCATATCGTGTCAGCTATTATTATTATTATTATTATTACTATTATTACTATTATTATTATTATTATTATTATTATTATTATTATTATTATTATTATGTAGAGTCTGGGTGGCCCTTTGTCGAGATGGATCGGATGGTGTCTTCCCTCATAGCGGAATGGGATTGCACTGGATGGCCTTTGGGGTTCCCTTCCAACTGTAGGATCCTATTCTATTATTATTATTATTATTATTATTATTATTATTATTATTATTATTATTATATTGAAGGCTTTCACGACTATAATCACTGTGTTGTTTTGTGTTTTCCGGACTGTATGGCCAGGTTGCAGAAGCATTCTCCCCTGATGTTCTGCCTGCATCTATGGCAAGCATCCTCAGAGGTTGTGAAGTCTGTTGAGAACTTGGAAAATTGGGTTTATATATCTGTGGAAAGTCCAGCATGGGAGAAAGAACTCTTGTCTGTTGGAGCTAGGAGTGAATGTTTCAATTGACCACCTTGATTAGCATTTGATGGCCTGGCAATATTCAAGGTGTGACTTCTTACTGCCTGGGGGAATCCTTTGTTGAGAGGTGATTAGTTGCCCCTGATAGTTTCTTGTCAGGAATTCCACTGCTTTCTGAATTCTCCTCTTTATTTACTGTCCTGATTTTAGAGTTTTTAATATTGTTCTCCCATAATCTGCTGTGTCCAGGTTGGTTCATCAGGTGCTCTGCTATGGCTGACTTCTCTGGTTGAAGGAGTCTGCAGTGCCTTTCATGTTCCTTGATACGTGTTTGGGCAATGCTGTGTTGTTATGTAGAAATGCTGGACCACTCTAACAAACCACCATGTCAGATGACACAGAGAAGCCACAAGCATGTGGACAATTTCAACAGAAAGGAGGAAACCATGAAAAGAAACAAAATCTGAATGGGATTGCACCGGATGGCCTTTGGGGTTCCCTTCCAACTGTAGGATCTTATTCTATTATTATTATTATTATTATTATTATTATTATTATTATTATTGTGATATCAAAGGCTTTCATGACTCTAATCACTGGGTTGTTGTGTGTTTTCCGGGCTGTGTGTACATGCTGCATTAAAAAAATAACCCCTCTAAAGTCATAACAGTAAATAAAAAACAACATTCAAAAACAGGGGAACTCCAGACAAGAAACAATCAAGGACAACTAATCACCTCTCAACAAGCAGTAAGAAGCCACTCCTTGAAAACTGCTAGGCCATTAAATGCCTATCCCACCAACCTCCAACAGACAAGAGTTCTTTCTCCCACCTTGGATATCATTCCACATATTTATAAACCCCACTTGCCTAGTTTCCAACCTCTGAGGATACCTGCCATAGATGTGGGTGAAATATCAGGAGAGAATGATTCTGGAACATGGCCAGGCAACCCAGAAAACTCACAGCAACCCAGTGATTCCAGCCAGGAAAGCCTTCAACAACATAATAACAATGATAATAATACTATGTAACACGCCACTTGCATTGTTTCCCACAGACCTCACAACCACAGATGCAGGCAAAACGTCAGGAGAGAATGCTTCGGGAACATGGCCAGACAGCCTGCAAAACTCACAACAACCCATTATGATTATGATTATTATTGTTGTTTACCATCTGTGTCAGTTATGGAGAGCAAAGAACCTATCCCACTTACCTGGCACAGGTGGCTGGTAGCGAGGAGATAGTCCGGCCGCATTCATGGTCCCGTTCGCCTCCTGAAACCCATACGGTTTGGGCACGACCGGGACCGAAACAAAACTCTTCTGAGGTCTGCAAGTGGCCGGAGCAGAGGCAGTGATGTCCGGCTGCCCTGGGATGCCCACCTGTTTCGGAGGGAGCCAGGTGGGGCCGGACATCACGAGCAAAGCTGCGGGCAGAAAGGAATAGGAGGTTTGTTTTGGAAATAGGATTTCAGGTTTACATCATACGTATGTCTCGTTATGGACACTGCAATTCAAGAAGGAGATGGACAAGGTGGGAGGTGTGCAGAGAAGGACAATCAAAATAGACCTCAAGCATTGGGACAATGGGAATGTGAGGTGCATCAACACCAGGCATGGGCCAACTTGGGCCCTCCAGGTGTTTTGGACTTCAACTCCCACCATTCCTACCTTCCTTCATTCCTCCCTCCCTCCTTTCCTTTCTTCTTTGTCTTCCTTTCCTTCCTTCCTTCCTTCCTCTCCTTTCTTTCTTCCTTTATTCCTTCCCTTTCCTTCCTTTTTCCTTCCTTTTCCTTTCTCCCTTTCCTTTCTTCCTCCCTTCCTCCTTTCTTTCTTCCTTCCTTTCTCCTGCCTTCCTTTTCCCTCCCTCCCTCCCCCATCCCTCCCTTCCTCTTTTCTTTCTTTCTTTCTTTCTTTTCTTCTTCCTTCCTTCCTTCCTTCCTTCCTTTCTTCCTACCTAACTACTATCCTTTATTCTTTCCTTCTTCCCATCCTCCTTTTCTTCCTTTCTTCTTTCCTGGTGGGAGTTGAAGTCCAAAACACCTGGAGGTCCCAAGTTTGCTCATGACTGTTCTCCAACCCAATCCGGTAGTGATGGAACGTTATAGTTCACAGCTACAAATATGCCAGGCGAAGGAGGAAGAGCTGGTTGAATGGATGGATGCAGATGGATAAATGAAAGGTCTACAATGGAAGGAAGGGAGGGAGGGAGGGAGGGAGGGAGGGAGGGAGGGAGGGAGGGAGGGAGGAAGGAAGGAAGAGGAGGAAGGAAGAAGGAAGGGAGAGAGGGAAGGGAAAGGAAGGGGAAGAAAAAGGGAAAGGGAAAGAAGGAAGAAGAAAGGGAGGGAGAGAGGGAAGGAGCAGGAAAGAGAGAAGGAAGGAGAGACAAGGGTGGAAGGAGAAGGAAGGAAGGAAGGAAAGATAGGTAGGTAGGTAGGTAGGTAGGAAGAAAGGAAGGTGAAGAAAAAAGAAAGAAAGAAAGAAAGAAAGAAGAAAGAAAGAAAGAAAGAAAGAAAGAAAGAAAGAAAAGAGGAATAGAAGGGTTAGCAAGGAATAAAGGAAAGTAAGAAGGCAGGAAGTAAGGGAAGGAAGGAAGAAAGAAAAAGGAAGGAGGGAGGGAGGGAGGGAAGTGTGGGATGAAGGAAGAAATAAAGGAAGGCAGGGAGGAAGGAAGGAAAGAAGAAATGAAGAAAGGGAGGATGGGAAGAAGGAAAGAATAAAGATAGTAGGTAGGTAGGTAGGAAGAAAGGAAGGAAGAAGAAGAAAGAAAGAAAAAAGAAAGAAAGAAAGAAAGAAAGAAAGAAAGAAAGAAAGAAAGAAAAGAGGAATAGAAGGGTTAGCAAGGAATAAAGGAAAGTAAGAAGGCAGGAAGTAAGGGAAGGAAGGAAGGAAGGAAGAAAGAAAAAAGGAAGGAGGGAGGGAGGGAGGGAAGTGTGGGATGAAGGAAGAAATAAAGGAAGGCAGGGAGGAAGGAAGGAAAGAAGAAATGAAGAAAGGGAGGATGGGAAGAAGGAAAGAATAAAGATAGGTAGGTAGGTAGGTAGGAAGAAAGGAAGGAAGGAAGGAAGGAAAGAAAGAAAGAAAAAAGAAAGAAAGAAAGAAAGAAAGAAAAAGAAAGAAAAGAAAGAAAGAAAAAAAGAAAGAGAAAGGAGGAAGGGAAAGGAAGGAAGGAAGGAAGGAAAGGAGGAAGGAAGGAAGGAAGGGAGGAGGAGGAGAGGAGGAGGGAGGAGGGAGGGAAGGGAAGAAAGAAAGGGAGAAAGAAGGAAGGAAAAGGAAGGAAGAAGGAAGGACAGAAAGGAAAGGGAAGGAAAGAAAGAAAGGGATGAAGGACGGAAGGAAGGGAAGACGGAAAGGAAAGGAGGGAGGGAGGAATGAAGGAAGGGAGGAATTGTGGGAGTTGAAGTCCAAAACACTTGGAGGGCCAAAGTCTACCCATGCCTGATCTACACTGTAGAACTAATGTAATTTGGCAGCACTTGAGCTGCCATGGCCCAAGGCTATGGAATCCTGGGAGTTTGGTGAGGCACTAACCAAACAACGCTAAAGGCCTTGGAAAACTACAGGATTCTATAGCCTTGAGCCACAGCAGTTCAAGCAGTACCAAACTGGATTAATTCTTTAGTGCAGACACTCTTGAGCCAGGAAATGGCCACACTTTGGCATTCTCTGATAGACTAGAAATCCCTTACAGCTGGAATTATTTTAGCCAAGTACCTCCAACCAGAAATCTCACCTTTCCCCCTTTTTTTCTTTGCAAAGCTGGCTTGATTTTGGACCTAGGAAGAGATAAGGGCCAGGAATTTCTCTGAGGCAATCCCAGGAAGATGACCCAAGATCGTAAAAATAGTTTCTGCTTTCCCTAAATAAATTGGGGGGGGGGGGGGAATAGAGACGCTCCAAGGCTGTAAATTTCCATTCTTTGATGGTAGATGTAGCAAAGTTAGCTGTATACCTATATATAACATTAAAAATATTTAATATATATGTTTATCTCCTGATTGAGATGCAAAGCGGATGACTGAGATGTGTGTGTGTGCATATATACTTTCTCTCTCTAAATACATATAGTAAGTTAGTGAAATTAGCAAATATTCCATGTTATACAAGGAGAGGTAGGTATTTATTATTGTGTTGTCGAAGGCTTTCAAGGCCGTAATCACTGAGTTGCTGTGAGTTTTCCAGGCTGACTGGCCATGTTCCGGAAGCATTCTCTTCTGACGTTTCACCCACATCTATGGCAGGCATCCTCAGAGGTTGTGGCTTTGAAGGTGCAAGGCTATTCAAGGTGGCCAGTTGCAACATCCACACTTGCCTCCAACAGACAAGAGTTCTTTCTCCCACCCTGGACATTATTCCACAGTTTAATTCCACTTGCCTAGTTTCCAACAGACCTCACAACCTCTGAGGATACCTGCTATAAATGTGGGCAAAACATCAGGAGAGAATGCTTCTGGAACATGGCCAGACAGCCTGGAAAACTCACAGCAACTCATAATAATAATAATAATAATAATAATAATAATAATAATAATAATCTGGACAAAACCTCTGGAGAGAATGCTTCTGGAACATGGCAGGACAGCCTGGAAAACTCACAGCAACCCATAATAATAATAATAATAATAATAATAATAATAATAATAATAATAATAATGCCCAAGAACAAGTCATTAGAACAAATGCCATCAAAGCCAGAATTGAAAAGTCAGCGACAGATCCCAAGTGTAGACTCTGCAAGGAAGCAGATGAAACAATCGATCCCATCCTCAGCTGCTGCAAGAAGATTGGACAGACTACAAGCAGAGGCACAACACCGTTGCTCAGATGATCCATTGGAACTTGTGCCACAAAGACCATCTGCCTGCGACAAAGAACTGGTGGGATCACAAGCCGGGAAAAGTTACAGAGAATGAACACGTCAAACTACTCTGGGACTTCCGAATTCAGACAGAGTTTTGGAGCACAAAACTCCTGATTTCACAATTGTATTAAAAAACAAAGTATGGATTGTCGATGTTACAACCCCATGTGACAGCAGGATTGAAGAGAAACAACTGAAAAAGTTCACACGATATGAGGATTTAAAGATCAAACTGCAAAGACTCTGGCACAAACCAGTCAAGGTGGTCCCAGTGGTGATCGGCACACTGGGTGCAGTGCCTCAAGACTTTGGCCTGCACTTAAACACAATTGGCGCTGACAAAATTACCATCTGCCAGCTGCAGAAGGCCACCTTACTGGGATCTGCACGCATTATTCGCCGATACATCACACAGTCCTAGACACTTGGGAAGTGTCCGACGTGTGATCCAATACAACAGCCAGCAGAGTGATCTTGTCTGCTGTGGACTCATCTTGATGTGTTTCAAATAATAATAATAATAATAATAATAATAATAATAATAATAATAATAATAATGATAATAATAATAATAATAATACATCACATAGTTCTAGACACTTGGGAAGCGTCCGACATGTGATGCAATACAACAGCCAGTAGAGTTATCTTGTCTGCTGTGGACTCATCTTGTTGTGTTTCTAATAATAATAACAACAACAACAACAACAACAATAATAATAATAATTAGTTCTAGACACTTGGGAAGTGTCCGATGTGTGATGCAATACAACAGCCAGCAGAGTTATCTTGTCTGCTGTGGTCTCATCTTGTTGTGTTTATAATAATAATAATAATAATAATAATAATAATAATACATCACATAGCTCTAGACACTTGGGAAGCGTCCGACGTGTGATCCAATACAACAGCCAGCAGAGTGACCTTGTTTGCTGTGGACTCATCTTGTTGTGTTTCTAATAATAATAATTATTATTATTATAGAATTATTATATTATTATTATTATTATTATTATTATTTGAAACACAACAAGATGAGTCCACAGCAGACACTCTGCTGGCTGTTGTATTGGATCACATGTCAGACACTTCCCAAGTGTCTAGGACTGTGTGATATATTATTATTATTATTATTATTATTATTATTATTATATTATTATTATGATGGGTTGTTTGTTTTTCCAGCTGTATGGCCATGTTCCAAAAGCATTCTCTCCATTATTTCACATTAGTATTATTATTATTATTATTATTATTATTATTATTATTATTAGTATTATTATTGTTTGAAACACAACAAGATGAGTCCACAGCAAACAAGGTCACTCTGCTGACTGTTGTATTGGATCACACGTCAGACACTTCCCATACTAGACTATGTGATGAATAATAATAATAATAATAATAATTTTTCATTATTATATTATTATTTTAAATAATTCAATGAAAACATGGCTTCCAAAAACAATTGAAACTGTCATTCTTTGATTACAGCCACTCTAATGAATTAGCACCAGCCTTATTCTGGGTCAGCCAGCCGGTCAATAGATGGGTCGGACTACAACTCCCATTGTTATTATATTATTATTTTAAATAATTCAATGAAAACATGGCTTCCAAAAACAATAGAAACTGTCATTCTTGATTACAGCCATTCTAATGAATTAGCACCAGCCTTATTCTGGGTCAGCCAGTCGGTCAATAGATGGGTCGGACTACAACTCCCATTGTTATTATATTATTATTTTAAATAATTCAATGAAAACATGGCTTCCAAAAACAATAGAAACTGTCATTCTTGATTACAGCCATTCTAATGAATTAGCACCAGCCTTATTCTGGGTCAGCCAGCCAATAGATGGGTCGGACTACAACTCCCATCGTCCTAGGACGATGGGAGTTGCAGTCCAACCCATCTGGAGGCTGGCTGACTCAGAAAAAGTCTGGTTTCAGTCCCGCTAAACAAAGAAGCAGAAGCTCTCTGACACACCCTGAAAGCCGCAAAGCTAGCAAATTATATATCTCATCTCATGTGTGTGTGTGTGTATATATATATATCCATTTTAGGAGAAACACAGAAAGGAAATGGAGATTGATCCCCTTCTTTTTCTGTCCTTTGCAAAGGCCTTGCAAAACTACAGCTCCCTGGGTTCCATAGCAATTTACCCACGGTGGTTAAAGTGGTACCAAACTGCATTAATTTTATAGTGCAGAGCAGGCATGGGCAAACTTGGGCCCTCCAGGTGTTTTGGATTGCAACTCCCATCATTCCTAACAGCCTCAGGCCCCTTCCTTTTCCCCCTCAGCCGCTTAAGCGGCTGAGGGGGAAAAGGAAGGGGCCTGAGGCTGTTAGGAATGATGGGAGTTGCAATCCAAAACACCTGGAGGGCCAAAGTTTGCACAGGTATGGTGTAGAGTGATGCACCCCAAGACTTCTGATTCTTTCCCAGGATCAGCTGAGCCTATCCGAAATGCTCAGGGAGCAAATGTGTTTTGGAATATTTGCATAGACATAATAAACAAACCCAGGCCCAAGTCGAGACATGAAATTGCACTGATGTTGCATCCATGCGCCTTCTAGACGTAGCCTGAAGGTAATGTTATCATATATGTTCAAAAATCATTTTGCAAATGCAACAACGTCTGCGTACGTACAATCCTTTCCCAGCCAGCCACCCAGGTGGATCGTTGTGGATTTTGGGAACCCTTTCTTCCAAAATTCAGTTTAATCTAATTTCGGATTGCAAATAAACAATGTATATAATAGTAATAAATAACAACAACAACAAACAAACAATATAAAATAATAATAATACATAAATATGTCAATCAATGTGTATACAATAATAACAACAAATAATATAAAATAATAATAATAATACATAAATATGTCAATCAATGTGTATACAATAATAACAACAAATAATATATAATAATAATAATACATCAATATGTCAATCAATGTGTATACAATAATAACAAATAATATATAATAATAATGATACATAAATATGTCAATCAATGTGTATACAATAATAACAACAAATAATATATAATAATAATGATACATAAATATGTCAATCAATGTGTATACAATAACAACAAATAATATAAAATAATAATAATAATACATAAATATGTCAATCAATGTGTATACAATAATAACAACAAATAATATATAATAATAATAATACATAAATATGTCAATCAATGTGTATACAATAATAACAACAAATAATATATAATAATAATGATACATAAATATGTCAATCAATGTGTATACAATAACAACAAATAATATAAAATAATAATAATAATACATAAATATGTCAATCAATGTGTATACAACAACAACAAACAAACAATATAAAATAATAATAATACATAAATATGTCAATCAATGTGTATACAATAATAACAACAAATAATATAAAATAATAATAAATAAATATGTCAATCAATGTGTATACAATAATAACAAATAATATAAAATAATAATAATAATACATAAATATGTCAATCAATGTGTATACAATAACAACAAATAATATATAATAATAATAATACATAAATATGTCAATCAATGTGTATACAATAACAACAACAAATAATATGAAATAATAATAATACATCAATATGTCAATCAATGTGTATACAATAATAACAAATAATATATAATAATAATGATACATAAATATGTCAATCAATGTGTATACAATAACAACAAATAATATAAAATAATAATAATAATACATAAATATGTCAATCAATGTGTATACAATAATAACAACAAATAATATATAATAATAATYATACATAAATATGTCAATCAATGTGTATACAATAATAACAACAAATAATATATAATAATAATGATACATAAATATGTCAATCAATGTGTATACAATAACAACAACAATAATATAAAATAATAATATAAAATAATAATAATACATAAATATGTCAATTCATTTTAATTTAAATTTAAAATAATGCATTATTTTAAATTAAAATGATTTAATTGACATATTTTCTGCATCGCCATTCAATCCACAAAAAAATTAAAAAGCAATAAAATTCTGTTTAATCTAATTTCGGATTTCAAATAAACAATGCGTATATAATAATAATAATAATAATATTTAAAAAATAAAATGATTTAATTGACATATTTTCTGCATCGCCATTCAATCCACAAAGAAATGAAAAGCAATAAAAATATACTTTCACATATTCAAAGTTTGGAAAAGTTACTTTTTTGGTCTCCAGCCCTAAGGACCTCTTCAGCCAGCAAAGGGGATGCTTGGGAAAGTTACTTGTTTTTAGACCACAGTCCCCAAGACAGCATTCTCCTTAACCAGCATGGAAAAAATTAATGGGAATGGTCAGAGTTTGGAAAAGTTACTTTTTCCAAGTTTTACTCTCCTCAATCAAGCATGGCTTGGGGAAAATGGGAAAGAAACAGAATTTGGTCACAAATGTTGGGGAAAGGGTACTTTTGGCCTGACACTTCCCAAAATCATTCAGAATCAATAGGCCTTGGAAAAGTTACTTTTTTGGGACCACAAAACTACCAAAAAGACCTTGCAAAAGCTACTTTTCTGTTGGAAGAAGGGAGGGAGGCTTCCTATCAGATCAAAGACATGTCCTTTCAGAACTTTAGAACAGTTACTTTTTCCAAGTTACTCTCCTCAATCAAGCATGGCTTGGGGAAAATGGGAAGGAACCAGAATGTGGTCACAAATGCTGGAAAAAGTTACTTTCTTGCCTGACACTTCCAAAAATCATTCAGAATCAACAAGCCTTGGAAAAGTTACTTTTTTGGGACCCCAAAACCACCAAAAAGTAGGAGGAAGGAGGAAAAAAGAAGGAAATTTCTTATCAGACCTTGCAAAAGTTACTTTTCTGTTGGAAGAATGAAGAGAGAGGTTTCCTATCAAACCAAAGAGATGGGCTATTAGAACTTTATAAAAGTTACTATTTTCAAGTTACTCTCTTCACTCCAACATGGCTTGGAGGAAATGGGAAGAAACCAGAATGTGGTCACTAATGGCTGGAAGAAGCTACTTTCTTGCCTGACACTTCCCACAATCATTTAGAATCAACAGGCCTTGGAAAAGTTACTTTTTTGGGATCCCAAAACCACCAAAAAGGGTGGGGAAGAAGGGGATTAATGTTACTTTCTTGCCTGACACTTCCCACAATCATTGAGAATCAACAGGCCTTGGAAAAGTTACTTTTTTGGGGATTCCAAAACCACCAAAAAGGAGGAGGGGGGAGGGGAAGAAGGAGATTAAAGTTACTTTCTTGCCTGACACTTCCCACAATCATTGAGAATCAACAGGCCTTGGAAAAGTTACTTTTTTGGGATCCCAAAACCACCAAAAAGGGTGGGGAAGAAGGGGATTAAAGTTACTTTCTTGCCTGACACTTCCCACAATCATTGAGAATCAACAGGCCTTGGAAAAGTTACTTTTTTGGGATCCCAAAACCACCAAAAAGGGTGGGGAAGAAGGGGATTAAAGTTACTTTCTTGCCTGACACTTCCCACAATCATTGAGAATCAACAGGCCTTGGAAAAGTTACTTTTTGGAGACCCCAACACCACCAAAAAAGTAGGAGAGAGGTGGGATTTCTTATCAGACCTTGCAAAAGTTACTTTTCTATTGGAGGAATGAAGGAAGAAAGAAGTTTCCTAACAGATCAAAGAGATGTCTTATTAGAACTTAAGAAAAGTTACTTTTTGAGGGTCGAAGTCTCCTAGAACCTAGCAATGAGGAAAAAAGTAACTTTTCCACTCTTTTTTTTTTTGGAGAAGTTTCCCCCCATTACACCCTTCGCTCCTAGCCATGCTGTTGGTTGCAAAAAGTAACTTTTCCAAGAGTAGGGCCTTCCTACCTGCTCTCACCTGGGTCCGCTGCTCCTGCTCCTGCTTCCTTTCCAACTTTCCTTTATTTTTATTTTTTTGCAAAAGGCAATGGAGAGAGAGAGGCACAGACCCCGGGGATGACGTCACCGCATTCCAAAGCGTCACGTGGAGCCTGGGAATTCCTGCCACTTCCGGTGGGAGGAGGGTCAAGGGGAGGGGGGAGATTTGGGGAGGAGAAATAGAAGGAAGGAGGAGGAAAAAGAGAGATACTGGGAATGAATGGGAAGGGAATGAATGAATTGGGAGGCAGAACTTTGGAAGGACTTCCTGAGAGTGAAATAGAATGGAGAGTTTTGGAGCTATAGCTGGATGGCCATCTGCTGGGAGAGGTTGGATTGTGCCTTTAAGAGTCCTCCAATTCTATGAATGCATGATTCTATCACACTTTTGGAAAGACTTCCTGAGAGTGGGATAGGATGGAGGTTTTGAAGTTACAGCTGGATGGCCATCTGTTGGGAGGGATTGGGTTGTGCCTTCCTATCTGGTTGGATTGGATGGCCTTTAAGAGTCTCTTGCAATTCTATGAATGCATAGTTATATCACACTTTTGGAAGGACTTCCTGAGAATGGGATAATCTGGAGGTATTGGAGCTACAGCTGGATGGCCATCTGTTGGGAAGGATTGGATTGTGCCTTTAAGAGTCTCTTCCAACTCTATGAATGCATGATTATGTCACACTTTTGGAAGGATTTCCTGGGAGTGAGATAAGCTGGAGAGTTTTGAAGTTACAGCTGGATGGCCATCTGATGGGAGGAATTGGATTGTGCCTTTAAGAGTCTCTTCCAACTCTATGAATGCATGATTCTATCACACTTTGGAAGGCCTTCCTGAGAGAGGGATAAGCTGTAGCTTTTGGAGGTACAACTGGATGTGATATAACCATTAATTCATGGCCATCTGTTGGGAGGGATTGGGTTGTGCCTTCCTATCTGGTTGGACTGCATGGCCTTTAAGAGTCTCTTCCAACTAAGAATGCACGATTCTATCCCACTTTTGGAAGGACTTTCTGATAATAGGATAGGCTGGAGATGTTTTGAAGCTACAGCTGGATGGCCATCTGTTGGGAGGGATTGGATTGTGACCTCCTATCTGGTTGGACTGGATGGCCTTTTAGAATCTCTTCCAACTCAGTGAATACATGGTATTGGTTATATCACACTTTTGGAAGGATTTCCTGGGAGTGGGATAAGCTGGAGAGTTTTGAAGGTACAGCTGGATGGCCATCTGTTGGGAGGGATTGGATTGTGCCTTTGAGAGTCTCTTCCAACTCTATCAATGCATGATTCTATCACACTTTCTGAAAGACTTCATGAGAGTGGGATAAGCTGGAGTTTTTGAAGCTACAGCTGGATGGCCATCTGTTGGGAGGGATTGGATTGTGCCTTTAAGAGTCTCTTCCAACTCTATGAATGCATGATTCTATCACACTTTGGAAGGCCTTCCTGAGAGTGGGGTAAGCTGTAGCTTTTGGGTACAACTGGATGTGATATAACCATGAATTCATGGCCATCTGTTGGGAGGGATTGGATTGTGACCTCCTATCTGGTTGGACTGGATGGCCTTTAAGAGTCCCTTCCAACTCTATGAATGCATGGTTATATCACATTTTTGGAAAGACTTCCAGAGAGTGGAATAGAATGGAGAGTTTTGGACCTACAGCTGGATGGCCATCTGTTGGGAGGGATTGGATTGTGCCTTTAAGAGTCTCTTCCAACTCTATGAATGCATGATTCTATCCCACTTTTGGAATGACTTCCTAGGAATGGGATAGGCTGGACATTTTGAAGCTACAGCTGGATGGCCATCTGTTGGGAGGGATTGGATTGTGCCATCCTACCTGGTTGGACTGGATGGCCTTTTAGAATATCTTCCAACTCTATGAATGCATGGTTATATCACACTTTTAGAAGGACTTCCTGAGAGTGGGATAAGCTGGAGTTTTTGAAGCTACAGCTGGATGGCCATCTGTTGGGAGGGATTGGATTGTGCCTTCTTATTTGGTTGGACTGGATGGCCTTTAAGAGTCTTCCAACAATATGAATGCATGATTCTATCACACTTTTGGAAGGACTTCCTGGGAATTGAATAGGCTGGAGAGTTTTGAACTTACAGCTGGATGGCCATCTATTGGGAGGGATTGGATTGTGCCTTTAAGAGCCTCTTCCAACTGTGTGAATGCATGGTTATATCACACTTTTGGAAGGATTTTCTGAGAGTGGGATAGGCTGTAGCTTTTGGAGGTACAACTGGATGGCCATCTGTTGGGAGGGATTGGATTGTGCCATCCTACCTGGTTGGACTGGATGGCCTTTTAGAATATCTTCCAACTCTATGAATGCATGGTTATATCACACTTTTAGAAGGACTTCCTGAGAGTGGGATAAGCTGGAGTTTTTGAAGCTACAGCTGGATGGCCATCTGTTGGGAGGGATTGGATTGTGCCTTCTTATTTGGTTGGACTGGATGGCCTTTAAGAGTCTTCCAACAATATGAATGCATGATTCTATCACACTTTTGGAAGGACTTCCTGGGAATTGAATAGGCTGGAGAGTTTTGAACTTACAGCTGGATGGCCATCTATTGGGAGGGATTGGATTGTGCCTTTAAGAGCCTCTTCCAACTGTGTGAATGCATGGTTATATCACACTTTTGGAAGGATTTTCTGAGAGTGGGATAGGCTGTAGCTTTTGGAGGTACAACTGGATGGCCATCTGTTGGGAGGGATTGGATTGTGACCTTATAGTTGAACTGAATGGCCTTTAAGAGCCTCTTCCAACTCTATGAATGTAGTTATATCACACTTTTGGAAGGACTTCCTGAGAGTGGAATAAAATGGAGTTTTGAACTTACAGCTGGATGGCCATCTGTTGGGAGGGATTGGATTGTGCCCTCCTATCTGGTTGGACTGGATGGCCTTTAAGAGTCTCTTGCAACTCTATGAATGCACAATTCTATCACGCTTTGGAAGGACTTCCTGAGAGTGGAATAGAATGGAGGATTTGGAGGTACAACTGGATGGCCATCTGTTGGGAGGGATTGGATTGTGTCATCCTACCTGGTTGGACTGGATGGCCTTTTAGAATATCTTCCAACTCTATGAATGCATGGTTATATCACACTTTTAGAAGGACTTCCTGAGAGTGGGATAAGCTGGAGTTTTTGAAGCTACAGCTGGATGGCCATCTGTTGGGAGGGATTGGATTGTGCCCTCCTATCTGGTTGGACTGGATGGCCTTTAAGAGTCTCTTGCAACTCTATGAATGCACAATTCTATCACGCTTTGGAAGGACTTCCTGAGAGTGGAATAGAATGGAGGATTTTGGACCTACAGCTGGATGGCCATCTGTTGGGAGAGATTAGATTGTGCCTTTAAAAGTCTTCTCTAACTGTATGAATGCATGGTTATGTCACACTTTTGGAAGGATTTCCTGAGAGTGGGATAGGCTGTAGCTTTTGGAGGTACAACTGGATGGCCATCTGTTGGGAGGGATTGGATTGTGACCTTATAGTTGAACTGAATGGCCTTTAAGAGCCTCTTCCAACTCTATGAATGTAGTTATATCACACTTTTGGAAGGACTTCCTGAGAGTGGAATAAAATGGAGGGTTTTGAATCTACAGCTGGATGGCCATCTGTTGGGAGGGATTGGATTGTGCCTCCCTTTCTGGTTGGACTGGATGGCCTTTAAGAGTCCCTTCCAACTCTATGAATGCATGATTCTAACACACTTTTGGAAAGACTTCCTGAGAATAGTCTAGGCTGGAGGTCTCGAAGTTACAGCAGGATGGCCATCTGTTGGGAGAGATTGGATTGTGCCTTCCTATCCGGTCGGACTCCATGGCCTTTTAGAGTCTTTGAATGCATGATTATATCACAAGCCTGGGCCAACTTGGGCCCTCCAGGTGTTTTGGACTACAACTCCCACAATTCCTAACCCCCGGTAGGCGGTTAGGAATTGTGGGAGTTGTAGTCCAAAACACCTGGAGGGCCCAAGTTGGCCAAGGCAACTTTAGTGGCAACAATGCCAGCAAAATGACTAACCACCAGGCTTTCTCTGCTTTGTTTCAGGCAAGTCGGTGCCTGCCTAACACAGGGATGGGAGGGAGGCCGTATTTTCCCCCAATTCTGGGTCTTCCTCTTTGCTGAGATTCGCATTGACCTGTCCGGACCTGTCCCTGGGATTACCAGCATCGAACTGGATTATATGAGTCTACACTTGCCCTATGACCCTGTTTCAATATATTCCGAAACTGCATTAGGAGAAGAATGAGGCTGCGTCTACACTGCCATATAATGCAGCTTCGGAATGCAAATGAGCTGCACCGATCTGGATTATGTGAGTCTACACTTGCCATATAATCCAGTTCAGTGCATTCTGAAGCTGTGTTGATCCAGTGTGTCATAAAGTTGGAAAAAGTAACTTTTCCAAGCTGTAAAAGTTCGGAAGAGCATGTGCAGAGTGCAAAGATTCCTAAGAATTGCTATGCATCTCAGAACCAGTGCTTCCCACACTTTCACAGCCAATGGCTCAAATGCTATGGAATCCTGGGAGTTGTAGTATTGCAAGGACTCCGGCTATCTTTGCCAAAGAGTGTTGTGGCCTTTGCCAAACTACAATTCCCAGAACTTCATGGCGTTGAGCTACGGTGATTAAAATGGTATCAAATGCTAGGGAATCCTGGGAGTTGTAGTTTTTTAAGAACTTTGGCTTTCTTTGCCAAATAGTGCAGGGGCCGATGACAAACTACAACTCCCAGAACTTCATGGCATTGATCTACGGCAATTAAAATGGCATCAAATGCTATGGAATCCCGGGAGTTATAGTTTTGCAAGAACTTCGGCTTTCTTTCCCAAAGAGCGGCAGGACCTTTGCCAAACTACAACTCTCAGAACTCCGTGGCCTTGAGCTACGGCGATTAAAATGGCATCAAATGCTATGGAATCCTGGGAGTTGTAGTTTTACAAGAACTTCGGCTTCCTTTCCCAAAGAGTGCTAGGGCCTTTGTCAAACTACAACTCCATGGCATTGAGCTACAACGATTAAAATGGCATCAAATGCTATGCAATTCCGGGTGTTGTAGTTTTGCAAGGACTTCGACTTTCTTTGCCAAAGAGTGTAGGGGCTG